ACACACACACACACACACACACACACACACTGTAGTTAAAGATTCCTAGACACTCATTATACAAGAATGATTTCAGATATATTCCAAATTTTAACAGCATGCACAAATGTTTGCACACACGCAGGGAGCAAAGGCTTTATAAAATATGCTTCTTTATCAAAGTGAGTAAAATGAGGACCAACTGTTCATATAGACTAAGATGGTGCTGATATTACTGCAGATTTATGTCCCCTTAAGGAAATAAAAGTCCAGCATGCTTTCTGCCAGAGTATCTCCTCATGCAAGAGCAGAATTCATTAGTTCTCTGTCCATTTAGCCTTGTAGATATCACAGGGTGTGATAATGGGGGTCTGCACAAATGGGAGCTGGAGCTGCTAAATATGAGTTATATTACAAAATGAAATAGCAGATTTTTCAATTAGGATTTACTGTAAAGTCATTAGTAGACATTTTTGTTATTTAACACTTCTATTTGTCACTCATTTCCTCACTTTTCTCACTCCCACAGTCTGACACACTTGTCAGTCTCACAACCCTAATTGTTTATCTGGCAGGGCTCATGTGGTGGTATCGATGCCTTTGTATTCTGTAACAGCCTTTACCTGTGTGTCTGTGTGTGGTATAAAGAGTTGTTTAGGTGTATGGAAAGATCTTGAGGGCTTTTGATGAAATCTGAGGGAAGCTGGTTTTCTTGTTCCAACCAGAAGGACATGAATTAATCAGAGCCCCTCTCTGAAGAACTTCCTGAGTTTGAGGCTCGTTAGTACCGAGAGCTTCCAGAAAGACACAAATACAATTTAGCTTTAGTGTTGTCAGCAGCCTCATGTGAATTTTTTAAAGTCCCTGTGCATTTTTCTGTCAAGGCATGCTGCCTGCAAACATCATACTCTGCACACATGCCCCTATGCACCCACTCAAAAATACAAAAAGTCATAAATATACCATACATTAAAAAAAACTTGCAGATATGTGTCAGTGCATGCAATTGCTCCTATGTTTCCTCTTTTCCTCCTCTTGACAAACACAATCATACATGCACAAAGACTCACCGCTTCTTCCAGATCTCTCTGTGTACGTCTTAGCGCCCATGGCAATTCCTTTCTCTCTATTCTACTCACTTTATCCATCCTTTTGTTTCCTATTTCCCAAACCTTCCTCTCTGTGTTTGGTTAATCCAAAGTTCAACTGGGGTAGAAATTTCTCTTAAAGTAGAAAACACTATGAATGATTCAAGAATGTTTAATGTAGACAGAACGGGGGAGTCGGTGTCAAACTGTGGTGGTCGTTGATTTGCGCAGGATTGTTTTCTGGGGCTTGAGGGAAGGCGGGTGAGGAGGCACAAAAGGTGGAGGAGTGTTCGCTGTCGGTGGGAAACTGTGGCTGACCGGGAGGCCGCCGTTTTCCAACATGAGATCATGAGGAAGAGCATGAGGTGGAGGAGGGGAGGAGGAAGAGCAGCAGTGCACTGGGCTAAGCCTCAAGTCGCTCAGCTCGGTCTGTAAGTGTAGTTCTGTGTCGTCTACATCGTATTGGAGGTCGCAGTCTGGGCAGTAGCCGTGGTACTGGACCTTCTCGCTGAAACGGACACGCTCCCTCTCACGAGGCTCCCTACCGGGGGCCTTTGGGCATTTGTTCTTTTCATGACGGAGAAGGGGCATGGGCCTGGGCAATGTAGGAACAAGCCCGGACTCAGGGATCCCGTAGTCATTCGAAAGGAAACACGGCGTGGAGGAGAATAAATCCCTGGTTTTCAACGGGAAAACCCCGCCATTCCTCAACAGAGACCCATTAGCCTTGGATATATTCCCTGATAACACTAAAGTCGGATGAGGCAGATTCTTCATGTTGTGATCCTCGGCTCTTAGTGGCGTATGTCTTGGTGGTGGTAAGGGCGGGTGGGCTTTCTTCAGCACAGTCAGTACTGCAGGAGCGTTGACAGGGACCGGGATGATGGGCCCAGGGGTTTTAAAGATGCAGTCCTCTGGGAAGAGCTTCATCCTCTCTAGGCTGGAAGCGGTGGTAGTGGTGGTGGTGGAGCTTGAGCTGGAGTTGAGGGTGTCTGTCTTGGAGCTGTCTGTTAGTCCATCCTCCTCCAGTTGCAGGTCACAAGTCAGGGTGTCGATGTCATGAACGACCTGGTGACAAGAAGACATGTCACTGTGACAGCTGAGGTCAGGGATCATAAACAATGAAGCCTGAGAGGAGGAAATTAAAAATCACAGATAAAGTAACTGATGACACTGTTAACAAGGGAAATAATGATGATCCAAATAGAAGATTGTCGGGCTCAAAAGGAAGATTTGAGAAGAACATTTGTTCTTGTCAGGATTTAGTGTCTTAATCTCCTCACATTCTTAATAATGAATTAAAAATAACATTATATAAAAATAGATTCATGAGATGAAAAATTAATTAAGATTTCATTGTGACAAAGACGCCCGGCAGAAATGAAATATCACTTCAATTTATGGGACTGGCCATGAGCCTGCCAGACTCTGAGTTACATGATACATGACAACAATCCCATGCACCAACACAACTGAGAGAGTATACCAACAACATCCTATGAACCCAGACACGAACAATAGCATTTAGAAAATAGAAGCAGTGTTAGGGATGAATGGATAAACATTGCAGAGGACAAACTCAGGGATAAAACAAGATGAAACAGGTACAGAGAGGAAAAATCAACCGACAAAGATTAACACAATAAAACAAGCACACCTCAGGCAGCCAGAGTGAATAAATCCCACATTGAAACAAATGCTATGAGAGGGAAGATCCATTCCCACTAACAATGATATTATATTTCTGAGCTGAACAGCACAGTTAACAATTCATCATGGCCTGAATTAAATCCAAGCAAGCGACTTTGGTGTGACAGAAAAACAAAGACAAATACAGATATTTTACAAAAAGCAAAATCGCATCTGAAATCCACTCTGTGAGGTACACAATTTCAAACAGTAACTACTTTATCAGTTACAGTTGGGAGACATTTTTCACAGTGTGTCAGGATGGAAAAGGAGACAGAAGAGATGCAGGGTACCATAGACCACTGAATATTTTTTGAAAAGAAATGTGTAAAATTCCAATCAAATATTTGAATGTTACAAAAGGAGACAATAAACTGTAATAATGAGGGATGGTAGAACTCTTTGCTCATGCAGTGAAGCAGAAATTAATATTAAAGGATTTTGTTTTCCTCAGGACCCCTCGCAGACGGTGGATATTTGGATCTGAAGATAATTCCCTTAATTCCAAGAGGAAATGTGTTTTCACCGCCTGCACAGAGAAATATTAAAAAACTGCCGCAGCAGAAATTTGGTTTGCTGGCACTCAATACTGGAACCAATTGTAGGGATGCAACAGCACAACTTTAGATAACACATAAAACACAATTTACAGACATTGCAAACATTATAACTCCACAAAATATGCTGAACATGTCGGAGTGATGCTCGACTGACATTGATTAAACATCCATCAATCTACATGCAGCAGCAAAAGGCAAATAAAGGCCTGACTACACAACTAAAAAGTAAAACTACAATGGCAGTACATACCGGTATGCCACAGTCCAACAGTCCCCTTATGAAACTACATTTAAATCAACCAGATCCAGATTTATATTCTGCACCAAATTACACACACTCATAAAAACTGTCCCCTAAATATGCCTGAATTTTTTCATCAAGATCCATATGTCAGTCCAAATGTTGCCAATTGTCTCACAATGTACAAGAAAGTGAAAAAAAAATGGATCCACCACCAAAATTGAATGGGCCCATGTTACATGCTTCCACCAAGTTTCATGATAATCCCTCCAGTAGTTTTTGTGTAATTTAGCTTACAACCAAACCAATCAACAAACAAATGGACAGGGGTGAAAACATAGCCTCCATGGCATAGGAACAATTGGTGCCAGAGGACACTAAGTGAAACAGCTCTGGTTGTTATCTTATTAAATTCTGTCCTCTTAAAGCAAACACTTGCTCTGTGAACAAAGTTACTCTCCCATGCATTTATTTCTGCACCGCTGAGACGATATCTAGAGGCTGGGAGGACTGAAATTGCATGCTCACATAAACATTGCCCAAGGAATCATTAGCATGTGGTATTACATTAAAAAAAGGCAGTTTAACAAACAAAACTACACATGATGCTAAACCCTGCTGGGACATAAAAACTGATTCAACAGTATAATGTCCACTATGTTCAGCCATTTCCAGAGGTCTGTCCAAAAATATTCCCACTGAAGACGAGTGTTTACTGGTTCCCCTCCCTTGATGGAGTTATTATTGCATCAATGCCCAGAACTGAAGTGTGGTGTTGGACATTTTATTACTAGCTGTCTGATTATTGACCATCCAGCAGTCGGTGAATATCTGAACAGAATCTGGAAATCAAATGAGTTGAGATCGTGGTATCATGCAGCTGAAATGCAAAGAATACTCACCAGAACTGAAGTTAATGCATTCTCCTTTACAGCGTTCATGAAGTAATTAAGACAAAGACAATGTGCTTATGTTCATTTTCTGGATTAGTTATCTTAGAGTGCCCAGTGCATTAGCCCTCTGTGAAACACTGTTATCATCCAGGGGTTTGAAATGTTCAAACAGTTGCTTGAGAAGAGGCTGCAAGAGAGAAATGAAGAGCGAGTGATGAGGAGGGAAACAGAACGAGGAAGAGTGACTGAGAGGGAGAGATAAATAGGAAGAAAGCTGGGCCAGCGAAGGCAGTGGAGCTAAGTTCTCCATGCAGTCTCTAAATGGATAATTTGTTGGGACACATACAAGAGGTAATACCAGTATCCTGGTGTGCAGGCCCTGCTGTAGGCCAGGCAGCTTCAGCGGCTGAGCCAAGCATCTGGGCAGGGTCCCTCCTTGGAGCCAGGCTCAGCTGCAGCCCTGATGGTGGGTTATAACAAATAACTGCATTTCTAATGGATTATAACCCAAATACTGGATTTGATAGTAACACCCCCCCCAAGGTATGTCTTTGGCATATGTGTGTGTATGTGGTGTCAGAATAACTGATCCTCTGCACAGTTTCCTGCGAGCAGAAAAGAAAAAGAAAGAGGGCACATCATAATAAAAGATCACAATAGATTACAATGCCTTCTTGTTCTCATTCATTCCTGGCGCCTGCTGTGAGACACTGTGAACTGCTGGAAGAAAAAACCCCACAAAGAAGTCTAATTCAGCTCAACTTGCAGAAGCAGAGCGAGAGGAAGGGGAGGTGAGAGGCAGAAGGAGACAGATGCTGTGTCGACTAACCCATCCATAATGTAGGAACACGAGGCTGTGCGCAATAGGGTTTTATTAGAATGACAGGCTGTCATGTTAGAGTGAGATGTTCGGCACAGCAGGTCGAACATGCCTGGTGTGTGGCAGGTGGAGGGATATAAACATGAAAACAGGTAAGACTGCAGCTATTACAACGGAAGTGGCAGGAAAGGACTTGTGATTGGCGTTAGTGGAAACGCTTACAGAGGCAAACACTGCAACGTGTGAATGAAATGAAAGAAAATACGTCTCTGCAGGGAGGATCTGCAAGGTAGTTTTGCTTTGTGAATGTAAAATACACCCATATAATGCCTGAATCTGTCAGAGACCCCCCAGACTGCCATTCAGCACCCCTGTCTCTGAATCACCGAGAATCGGATATAGCCAAACAGACAGCTGAGAGTTCTGATCCTAAACAGGGACTCTGTAGAGAGGGAGAGGAAGGAGAACAAACAAGAGATAAAGACAGGATGAAGATGAGTGGTTGTGATAAATACAGACATGTGGTGAAAGATAAAAAACGACAAAGAAAGCTGCAGATAAAGCAACGCCAGGAGATATCGAGACGAGGAAGAAGCTGAAAAGGAAAAGACAACTGCTTTGTTATTATTATGTTTCTTATTATGTTTTCTTTGGCAGGAGATAATTCCCAGCAAACAACAGTCAGCATTAAGATGATGAAATGCAATGCAAAAAGTGCCTTCCTGGTTGAAACAACTTGTCCATTAAATATTAACTGTGATTAAATTTTTCTCACTTTCATGAAAAGCCTGAGTGAGTCAGGGCAAAGACGCCTGTCCTGTCATTTCACACCCAGCATCCTCCTGTGCCACGTCTTTTATATTGGAGATAATGACCACATTCAATAGTTGGTAGTCTGTGTGCGTGTGTGTGTTGTCATAGCCGCCTCCAGGCCCCAGTGAGTTGGACATCACCCTCGCCATCTCCTCCAACACAACAATGCCTAGAAAGAGCATCCTCACAACAAGCCTGCAGAGATGCTGGAACACAACACAACACATGGTGCCTGGTTTATGGAGCTTATGGCCTCTTATGGTGTGTCCCCCTCTCATTTACCTCTTTCAGCTCTTTGGCTACATCCTTGAGGTCTCCCAGGATGGTCTCCAAATTCTCCACGATTGTCTTGATTTCCTTTTTCACTTTCACTTTGGAGACTACTCCTTCAGCCTCCGCATTAGGTGTCCCTGACATTCTTCGCTTTGTCTAATTCTGCAAGGATCTGAGGTCAAATCCTTCGCTCGCCACGCTGCCACTTTGCCGACGCATTTCTCGTGTTCTCATCCAGTCCTCCGCTCCCGCTTACTTTTCTGCTCCTACATCACTGCCAGAACGGAGCCAAGTGGCGTCGGCCAGCGTTGTGTATCCGCCACCAGGCATGCGCAATGGAGCGTGCAGCACAGAAAAAGAACCGTGATGATCAGATATTGGACCATAGTGTCTGCGAGAAACTACATCCACAGGTTTTTGCGCAACCTTTACGCGTCCGTGTCCAACATCTGCGCAAAAATGACGCGCCACGGGTGCTCCTCGCGTGCGAAGAGCGCTAAATTCAACATTCTAGGATAGAATGTCCAACAGGAAAAAGGAAAAGAAAGGTGTTATAAAGAGAGGAGGATGACAGAGCGAGAGAGACAGAGAGAGTACAGGCTGTGATCCAGGAGCGTTACTGCGTCTGTCGTTACTGTGATGGTCCATAATCCTCAGGCATCATCGACACACAACTGTAACACACTCCCCGTGGGGTTTCCTTCGATAACATGCGGTGTGTGGCGATGATGCACCCCGGCGAGGTGATGATGATGAAGATGATGATGATGATGTCAGGTACCGACACCCCAGAGCTGCTCCAATCTGCTCCGAAAAACCACCCGGTCACTGTCATCCTGTCTCCATCTCAGCCTCCGTCCGTGGAGAGTCTGAGCCAAGCAGAGAGAGAGGGAGAGAGAGAGAGAGGAGAGAGAGGAGAGAGAGGAGAGAGAGAGAGAGAGCCCTGTCCCATTTCATAACAAGAAGCCATGCAGAGGTTGAGGAGGTCTCACATTTATAATCATGTTAAACCCAGATGTGTTGTGTTGTGTGCATGGACGGATGATAAGAAATATGTCCCTGGGGTACAGACTGGAGAAAGCCCCCCACCCCCACCTTCACTCTCCTTCATGACAGCCAGACTGAAAGACACAGATTGAGAAATAGTGTGTTGTGTCTCTACATAGTTTGCATCTATGTTTTGTATTATTTTTTTTCCATTCAATGTTATATTAAATATCTATATAGATTTAAGCATTTATTTTTTAAGAACAACAACCCCCCAGACCGGTGCTGGGTGTGGGGCCGTACTGGGACTACTTGGCATAGTCATCAGAAAATCCACCAGATCCATCTGAATGGATATTTCATCGTTGTCATTTGTTTCTCTGCACAGTTGCTTTGCATCTCTTAGTAGATGTTTTGCATCTCTGTGTTATTTTTTTTCTCTCCTTCTTTTTGCTTTGCATCTCCAGGATCAGCTGCTGGTTCTATCAGTCCTATAGGGTTTAAATCTTTTTTCAATTTCAACATATCGAAGTTCTATTAAAGATTCAGTGTGTAAGATTTAGGTGAAATTGAATATAAAATAATCCTGGTGATGTTTTCACTGGTGTGTTTCATCTAAATTGTATAAATTGTTGTTTTCTTTGCCATAGAATGGGCTCTTTATATTTACAAACTTTATATTTGCATGGACGGGGGTCCTCTCTGTGGAGGCCACCATGTTTTTTATTGTCGTCCTGGAACAAAGTTTTCATGACAACTGAAGTTCACCACAGGTTCTCTCTCATGTTTGGAAGGGGAGGGTGAGGTGAGGGGTATTCAGCTGCAACATGCAACTTCATCTCTGGATGTCACTAAATTCTACACTCTTAACCTTTAAAGGAGTCATATTAAATATATAATATATGCTATAAAACACTATATTATAACACAATGTGTTGATGGGGAACACTCATACAATGGACAAAGTAGTAGAAGTAAGGCTGCAGCTAATGATTGATTAATCGATTTGTCGTTTAGTCGTTGAAGTGATGGGAAGTATTTTGAAAATGTCCATCACAGTTTCTCATGGTCCAAGGTGACATCTAAAAACAGTCCAGCTTAAAAAGATGTTCAATTTAATGAGATGAAACAGAAAAAGCAGAAAATCTTAATATCTGAGAGGCTGAAAACAACATTTAAATTGTTGCACTTTTAAAATAAACACTAAAGTAAAACGGCTGAAGGATCATCTACATAATGTCCGATTGTTTATTCAGTCGTTCGACTAATCGACCAACTGTTGCTGCAGAGATTCAAACATACTCCACCTGGACCTCGTGTGTAAAAATCAACGGCGGCAGAGAAAGGGTTAAAAAAAAAACACCTTGGTGTCTGATTGGTCAGGGCTGAGAACACGCCCCTCTGCATTGCGGAAGTGGAAGTTGTGGAAGTCGTCCCAGCTCCAGCTGTCAGCGGACCGAGTCTGTCCTGTGTCCCCTGGTCCTTCTCACAGACAATAACAGCACCTCACGGGGATGTCTCTGTCTTTCGAGGGAAGAGTTGTGCTCGTCACCGGAGCCGGAGGAGGTAAGGTCACCATGAAGGCACCTCTGAGCGTTAGCTCGGCTGTCAGGACTGCTAACATCTCAGTAGAACTAGGCTGGAAACGCTTTTAGTACGCTAGCTAACCAGCTAATGCTAATCTTCAAGTTGCGTAGATTTTGTATAAACGACAAATTATTAAAAAGAAAAGTTTCCTCTTGGCATCTGCAGCCCAACAGGTAACACCTGCATCTTGCTGTTTGCTAACTCAAAGGAAACAGCTGCAGGGGACTCCTTAAAGTCAACAACGAGCGAAACACTTGGAAACACATTTGTTGGTGTGTCTGTAGAAAATACACTGTTTTAATAAGAGCAATAGCAAAACTGTCCCAGCATCGGAATCTGAAGACCACGGGGAGCAAAGTGCATGTAACGCAATGACTTTTAATCTTTCCAGTGAAAGTGTGTGAAAGGGCACATCCACCCTCAGTCAGTGGCCTCAGTGTGTCTGTATCCAGCATGAATTGTTTTAAACACAGCCAAGAAGAATCCTAAACCTTATGATATCTCAACACAGTGTAAGTCCTGTGGTGAGATATCAGTTTGAGATTTTACACAGATTTCAGGTCTCCATTATATCCTGAGCACAGACAAGAACGGAAAACATCTCACCATGTTTCATCGTGAAGGAAAATTAAAAAACGTCACTGGAAGAATGTTTTGTTTGCAGGATTATGTCACTGCGAGCCCAGTCTGTTAGAACATAGCATATTGAAACTCTAGAAACCCAAAACCCAAATATAGATATACAAAATAGGTATGTCTTGAAACAGAATTAGAAACTGCTATCACTATTATAGAAAACCTCACTGGTAGTTTTTAAAGGTTTCGGTTGCTGCTGTAGTTTAATTTCAATCATTAAAACTGATTAAAAAAAAGATAATAGCCAAAAGTGCAACAAACACATTACCTGATATTAGTGTTGCAAATCTTTCAGTGCAAAATGCCTAAAGAAATGTCTGTTTGAAATTACTCCACTTTAAACTCAGCTTTTCTTACAATGTGAGTTACATGAGAGGATGATGACGAACCTGTGGCTGATTCACTCTTCATCCTTTTTTAAATGACATGGCTGTTTAAGAGTTCACACAAAGTCTTTAGCTTCATAGCAATGAATGTGTTAGAGTCAATTTCTATTGAATGTATATATATAAATAAATTCCGTGAAATTAAATACTTTTTTCTCTTCAGACTATTTTTATATAATTCTAATAATACAGAATTACAGTTAGAACAATGTTTTCATTCAAGGTTTTATTGGGGCCCTGGTAATGTAGAGTGTTTTATTCTGTGGACTCATCGCTCTCTTTCTCTTTACAGGCCTTGGCAGAGAATATGCTCTGGCTTTTGCTGAAAGAGGTGCCTCTGTCGTAGGTAAATATTTAAAGGATTTTCATTTTGAACCCAATATACTTCATAATTGAAACAGTTATAATGACCATGCAGCGTTTAGTGCAATGTGCATATCGGTTATTTAAATACTCTTTGAGCAGGTACAAATCATCTTCAAATCATTTGTAGCTGACAGTAGCAGTTTTTAACCTATGTTACATAAGTAAATGACATCATATGATACAAGTGAAAAACCACAGACTGTATAAAAAGATAAACATGTCTCCACTGCTATCTTGCGCATTTTAGCCATAGCAATCATTGTGAAGTCCCTCTGATAGACCAATCGTGAGCAGGTCCAACTACCTAACAGACAGAAACCATCTTTTTGAAAAACTATTTTGCGTCTACTTTGACTTGTTTGGCCCATGTCCCATCAACCAACAGCCACCAGCCGGTGATCAAGATGATTTGGCTTCACTTTTGGCAAGCTGTCATGTTGTCTTCTTTAAATACAGTCCATGGGGGAAAAACTGTCTTGCCCCTGTATGTTTGAATGCTAGAGATGACTGATGGTTTAGGAGTTACTTTGGTTAAATGATGCACTGATCCCAGACACCTGAGGTTCTGATCTTATTACGATCAGATATCAGCCTTAATATAATTAATCTATATTAAATTAATAAAATAGTCCTAAAGTAAATTCGTCATTATGAAAACACACAGTTTCGGCTTCTAGTCATTCCGTTGCATTGGGTGGAAATGTTTGATCTAATTACAATCCCAGCGGCTCAGTATCAGCAGATAACCCCGAGCAGAAATGTTGAAATTGGTATTGGGAGAGAAAAGTTTGATCGGTGCATCCTTAGATGAAGTGATCTTTGGAGATATGTTATACCTCTGAATGGTGTCTTAGAGAAATGTGCATTGCATTGATTGCCACATGAATGATGCAATGTTTCAGACTACACTCTTGCAGATGATGGCATAAATATTTGCTTTTCCCAAAATATAAGCTTCCCCTGCTGCCTGGTCTGAACTTGCCCTTGAACTCTGACAAGGAATCAGCTTAGCTATACTGTTCTCCTCACCTAATCATTCATGGAGAATTGCAGAACTCACCCCATTATTGCTAATCTTTTTCTTCTCGCTGCAATAAAGTGAACGACCTTGGGGCTGACACTAAAGGGGGTGGAAAGAGTTCTGCAGCCGCTGATAAGGTGGTGGAGGAGATAAGAGCGAAGGGAGGAAATGCTGTGGCGAACTACGGTGAGAAGTTTGGTCTTGGCTTGTTGTTTTAAATCTTCTCTGTTACATCCTTCCATTTTTTTTCGTTATTGCCTGCCATGTAGGATTTAGCTTATGTCTTGACTCAAAACCAGTATTGATTTTTGTCTAACAGGCTCACTGATGAAGCTGTTTGCTGTTATTGAAGACAAATGTGTCTTTTTATTTCACCTTTGTGCATCTCACAACAAAAATTGCTTTAGAATTTGATCAATGAGATTAATTTGCGGATTTATGTGTGGATGTGATATAAAGATATAATTTATCTGAAAAGTTGGAATACTATCTATCTGGTTTTTAACAAACAATTATGACCAGCAATCAATAAAAATCTTATTTTAGAGATCATTACCTAACAAATTGAGCAGGCCAGACTGTCGGTTCTCTTTTGTGTATAATCAATCCTTCTCACAAGCTTTATCTTACTCTGTAGTTTTATCATTGTTACTGTAACAGGTAAACTTTATCTATAAACCCATGTGCGAACAGATCAAATGTAGCCTAGAGTTAGTTTTTATTTCTCACCTTTTAAGCTGCATTTTTCTGCTGTGCACTTACAGATTCTGTAGAGGATGGAGACAAACTGATCCAGACAGCGCTAGATGCATTTGGAAGACTAGGTGTGTATTCTAATTGGATGGTAATAGTGTGACCATCAGACTTGATACTTGATCAGTTAGATGATCAGTATTGTAACTGTAATTCATTCAATCTTGTAATACATCTTTTCTTTCAGATGTTGTCGTAAACAATGCTGGGTAAGTTATTTAATCGTCGTAATCATACTTTTTAGATTTAACCACGCCGTCTGTTTTTGGAGTGGGTATTCGTTTTCAGTTGCCATATTAAAGCACATGTGGGCCACTGTAATCATGTAAGAGAAACCTTAAGTTTGGCACAGAGACTGAAAACACTTTCCTGCCTTTCTTTGCCAAGGATCCTCCGTGACCGATCGTTTGCCAGGACGAGTGATTTGGACTGGGGTAATACAATTATTTCTGATACATCACATTTATTCTGATTAACTCATGCCGTGTATGGCATTATCACATATCAGAATATTTCCTTACCTAATATCTCTTTATCAAACTGTGTCACCACTCTGTAAGGACCACATTTGTTTTCAACTTGTGTTGTCCAAGAGGGTTTTCTTTAAACACAGATTTTCTGTGTGGGAGTCAAACACTTGTTCCTCTTACTCTCCTTTTCAGACCTGATTCAAAGAGTTCACTTAAGAGGCTCCTTCCTGGTGACTCGAGCCGCCTGGAACCACATGAAAAACCAAAAGTTTGGCAGGTAACTGGCCCAGCTTCTAACAGATATTGACGTTAATAAGAACTGTGCCACATTCCTATTACGTGGGTGGGACTTTATAGGTTCAACAGAGTTACAGAATCCTCCCTCAACAGACAAACGATTGCTGGATTGTGATCAAGAAAATATCAATATGGAATAAAAAACTGTGTGCTAAGGTTTGATTCAAAATGTTAGTGAAGGTACCAAAGATTTTTATGTGCTGCATTTTAAGTGGGCTCTTGAGGACGTGCACTTGAGGTAATGATTATATAAAGCTTGTCTGCCTTCACATAATTATACACATATTCTCACTCTTACTTTAATCACTTGATACCATTTATTATATCTGGCTCCATTGATTTCATTGTGTAAGATGAAAAAAAAAAAGCATACTAATAAGATATCAAAATTCATATGAATATGTAAATCAGCAAAGAAAGAAGGAAATTAGTTAATTTGGTTATGCAGCACTGTAGGTTTATCCATGAACAATTTAAACACTATTTAAACTGATGACTCCACAAGAAGCAGCAAAGATGTATGTGCAGGCTCATCTCATTCTTCAAAGTAGTGCAGCATAAAAAATTCAAATATCCAGTGGTCTGAAGTGGAGAAGTCTTTTGGGTGAGAATAGCAACATTTAGTGGATAATTTATATTGACTCGGAGCTGTGTGGATGCATGCAGATATGTATTGATTATATGTTTAAGGTGCCATCAATCCTTAATTGAAGAGGGCAAAGCTATTACGTACTCAAACCGACATCCCACACGGATTGTTATTTAATTAACAGGGAGTTGTCAACAGGCTTTTCTAACATGAGACATTTTGCCAAAGTGGGTGAACTAATCACATTAATTATGGCTCCATTCGGACTCTGGAAAATCATTAATGTGCGAAGTGAAAAAAGGCCCATTGAGATTTTCATGTGTTCAGTTATGATCTGCAGAAGGTCACACAACAGGTAACCAAGGTAACATTTACCATTCACAAGTGCACACAAGCTGTTTTACATGAATAGGACAAGACAACAGTTTCAGACATAAAGTTTAAAGTGACATTTTGCCAAAAGTTATATTGAACCCAAATAGCAGCTTGTTATAAAGTATAATATAAAACAAATGCAAATAATGCAGTTGGTTAAATAAAAAAATAATACAAGTAACACCATAATCATCTTCATTATTTCACATTTTGTAGTTGAATCTACATTTGTGATGCTCATTTGCACTTCTAAAATCCTATTTTTCTGTTCATCCCAGATAAAAAGTTAATGCATTCAAAGAAAAAAGCTATAGCAGAGAAATGAAAATACTCCTCACAAGAGAGACAGGATGTACAAGGAAGCTAAGTTTGTGAATGAAATGACGCATGATTAAAGACACGCACGCACGCACGCACGCACACACACTCATACTCATATATGTGTATGTATTTGTTTGTGTATACATTCCTTCGTGACAGATCCTCTCAGTTCCATTGTAGTGTACAGTATGTGTGATCTGTGTAAAGGATTCCAGTTCTCTGATGACCACTGTGATGGCGTGATTCAGATGTCTCTACAGTTAATGTAACATTTGTGTTTAACCTCATTATGTTTGCTAGACTGAAGTGAACTCTCTGCATGAGATTACCTGCAAAATGATATGCACAAGTCTGCGCTTCTGCTGCGCATACATTTATTTCTGCATATAGCCTGCGCTCACAGTTGTTCAAGTAAACTGTTTAAGTAAATTTACTGCATGTAGGTCTGTATCAGTGATAAAGTAGTCTGTGTATGGGCGTGTGTGCGTGTGTGAGAGAGAGAATGGGCAAACATTACATGACTAGGTGCTTACATGTGTGTACACGGTCTGTTTATGCATGCATGAAAAGTATGTACCACTTTGTGAGATTATGTGTGTGGGGGACCGTCTGTGTCTCCCATTACTCCGTAGCAATGCCTGTCACTTTGCATTAACACTGACTTGTTGCCTGGGGTTGTCTGTGGCCAGAATCATCATGACGGCTTCAGCCGCAGGCATCTATGGTAACTTCGGCCAGGCCAACTACAGCGCGGCCAAGCTGGGCCTGCTGGGCCTGGCAAACACCTTGGCCATCGAGGGAAGCAAGTACAACATCCACTGCAACACTATTGCCCCTGTTGCAGGGTCACGACTCACAGAGACCATTATGCCCCCAGGTAGGCACAGAGATTAAACAACATGAATAATTGCATGCTGTTGGTTTGTATAATTCATACCGCGGTGTGCCGCTTGCTATTAGGGTGCGCACATTTTCACGTTTTTGTGGTAAGGCCAAAATAGCCAAATGGATTTTAACCACAATTTCTTTTAAAGAGCAGCTGCATAATGTAATGCCCATGAAATGTTGGTTTACAAAATTTGAGGCAACAGCACTCCTGTTTGAGATGCAAATTTGTCATCTAATATTCAAGAGCTGGGTTTTTTTCTGTTCCAACAGCCATGATGAAATCATGCACCCTGTGAGTGCTTTAAAAGTTTTGACGTGTCAGCTCCTGATTTAAACAGGCAGATCTGGCCTCCTTATTTTACTGTACGTGTTAGCTGTGCTTCTAGATATTCAGAGACAATGCAAGTAAGCATGATAACGAAATTATATTTTCATGTTAAAATAAGATGGACTTTACTGGAGGATGCATAAAGTGAACTCTGTAAGCTGTGTGTTGAATATAAAGATTATGAAAGTAAAAAGTAAAATATCAATGTGTCTCTTGAGCCCATATAAACCCAGTATTTATAAATGTCTATCCACCATGAGTATATTGTGCACGCTCTGTGGCTGCAGCTTGTTGACAGCAGTATTGGTGACAAATTAAAGGAATGGTTTTGTTGTCCTGCAGTGCTGGCCTCCAACAGCATCTGTCACACCACGCTGTACCAACTGTCACAGAATGGCCTTACCTTAGCAAATGACTCGATTCCACATTTCACTGACTCAGGCTTTTCTAAAAACAAACAACAAAACCCATCTTGCTTTACATTTCAGCGAGCAGTGGAGCATAATGCTTTTTCTTTTAAAAAAAAATACCAGATATGTGATGTCTAGTATTAAATCAGGAATTCAAAGTCTGTGCCACATGCACTAATGTTTAGGTCTTCATTTCATGTAGTGGTAATAATCTAATAGAAATCTAATAGGTTTTTCTTTTGGAGTTAAAGTTTTTTCTGTTGCAGATACATTCATTTTGCAAACATACAGAGACAAATGCTCTCATTCAAACCTTCAGGCAATTTAGATCTGCATGTCTTTGGACTGTGGGAGGAAGTCAGAGTACCTGATGAAAACTCGCATTGAAAGGCACCAGTTGAACCAGTAACCTTCTTGCTGTGAGGCAGCAGGGCTAACCGCTGCACCACTGTGCATGGAAAAAATTGTCAATTGTCTTTTTGGGAAATTTGTAAAGAATAAACGGTGACTAAGAAACATGTCTATTTGTTCTGTTGCAGTACAAAAAGGCTTCAGGCATGTGTGATAACTCAGACTTTTAGTCATATTATTTTCTAAATAGGAATATGAAACATGGTATTAACTACAAAGCAGAGATGTGTACAATAAATGTGCAATAAAAAGAAGGATCACTTTACCACATGTGTTTTGTTTTATTTAGACCTCGTGGAATCTCTGAAGTCAGAGTATGTCGCTCCCCTGGTCCTCTGGCTCTGTCATGATCAATGTAAAGAAAATGGAGGACTATTTGAGGTACACAAGAAAAAAGGATGTTCTCTCTTTCTCTTCAGGAAGTACTGCCTGTAGCTTCCTTTGCCATTGAGAGCAGTAATTTATTAATGAGATAATCCTATAATTTTCTGTGGGTCATCTGCTCATGTCCTTTCTCTTCTCAGGTCGGTGCAGGCTGGATTGGTAAATGTGAGTACTGTGTATTTTTCCCTGCATCAAGTATTCATTTTTGATTAGCATTAGCCCCTGGTTCATCAACACTGAATGTGTGTGACTTTCTCCATGCGACATCCTCTTTCTTTGTGTGTGTCCATGTGTGCAGTGCGCTGGGAGCGTTCTCAGGGCCACATTGTGAGACGGAAGAATCAACCCATGAATGTCGAGGCTGTCAGGGACCAGTGGGACAAAATCTGTGATTTTACAGACGCCACCAAGCCTTCATCCGTACAAGGTCAGTATATACCGAGGAGTAAACACATGTATGTACACACTCGGATGTTTATTCATACACACACACACATTAATATACACACTCTGCAGTTAATGTGACATTAAGATCTTCCTGTCATCTTATAAAAATGTAAACAAATTCCTTTTCGCTTGAACGCTCATCTGTTTATTGTGAATGTGATAATGTCTCTTAAAACCAGTGATGACACACACAACTGTTACTTGGATGCCATTAAGGCTGTTTTCACGCATATTTTATTTATTTGAGTCCAAGTCTGAGCAGTGCAGCGCCCGTCCTCCTCATAACCTTGCTGGTGTGCTCTCGCACTTGTTTGACTCAATCCCAGTTTAATCAGAATATTTAGTCATAGCTAGACTGAACCTAATCAGAGCCATCATATACATAAGTAGAAGGGCACTCGGTACAGTGCACACCTCTGCCATGGCCCTAAAGTCCCCTTATGAAACCACATTTAAATTCACTAGATCCAGATTTTAATTTGGATCTGCACCAAGTTGCACACATAAATATCAGTCACCTAAACATTAATTAACTAAAGGTTGCAAAATGCCCAATCACACAATGTTAAAGGGGAATCCTGGATCAACACTATAATGTCATGGGTTCTTGCCTGATCCAGACCACATGCTCTCACCAAGTTTCATTGTAATTCGTTCAGTAGATTTTGCAGAATCCTGCTGACTAACAAACAAACTGGTGTGAAAACATAACCTCTGTTGTGGATGTAATAATAAATAAGGAAAAGTCAGTGTAGTTCCTGTAGAGTAAAAATAATTGACATGTTTTGAGCTCCTTCCACTACCTGTGTGTTCAGAGGGTTTGGTTTCATGCCTGCAGGGATGAGTTCGAGTGAATGAGATGCAGAAAAAAAGTGAGGGTGAATAAGATGTGAGAATGAACAAGCCTAGTGTTGTTTACAACAAGTCTCATGCAAACCAGAGGGTGGCAAATGATTATTACTTCTCTCCACCTCCTCCATCCCTCAGATGTACATTTGGAGAAAGGGCAGCAGTGCTAACATAAACTGAACAGGGGCGGCAGTCCCACTGGGTGCATGCTGGACTCATTAGCATGGCTTTGTTGTGCCTCCTCGTTTGTAGCTTATTACAGAGACTTGTTGCTACCTCTGTTCTGTAACTGCTGCCACTGAGTAATGTTAATCAGTAGATGTGGTCTTAGTCTCTCTCTGTTTCTTATTCATTATCTTCTCATCTGTCGTCCCATTACATTACATTACATATCATTTAGCTGAAGCTTTTATCCAAAGTGACTTACAATAAGTGCTTTCAACCATGAGGGTACAAACCCAGATCATGTTTGTCTGAATCTACACATGTATACACAAGTCACGTTGTTTGAGTTATGTACTGTTTACATACTGTAAGTACTGTAAGTACTTATGCTAAGCTAACTGGTGGCTGGCAGAAGTTTTATATTTTACCATAGACTGTATGTAAAGATCGATGACAGGACGGCCACTGAAAGTGAAGCCAAAGCATCTGTATTACCCCCTTGTGGCTGGCTGCAGTATAGGTCATAGCCCCTGCCTCCTGCACGTTAGTGGATGGGACATGGGCCAAACTCAAAAAAGGCAAAACGTCTCTCATTTTGTAGTTCTTAATGTAGTTACTTGATGCTGAAATAAAAATAACTGCTGTTAATTTTAGCAGGCTAACACAATGTAAACCTGGTTAAAGTAATAAGCTTGCTTAATATACACATATATCTGACTTTCTACATGATCTGTGGCATCATAGTTTCACATTCATTAGTTGTAAACAGTGAATTATTTGTATGTGACCCGAGCATCCTGTATTATTGTGCAGTTCCACTCATCTACCATCTCCAACCTTTTGTGCAGAGTCTCTACACTCAATTGTGACCGTGCTGTCTGAAGTTGATTCGGAGGGAGCAGTCGATGCAAATCCAACAGCTGCTGTGGCCTCGACCTCGGGGATCAATCCTGTGAGTATTGTGCCATTGCTGCTATCATCTGTGACAGTGGCTGAGGGGTAGAGCATGGAATATTTTCTCTTGTCTGCTGTGAGCTGTAATATCAGTAGAATGATGTCTCTGTGTCGACCTCTTGGGAGACTTTAAACACCTATTTACTAAAATCCACTGTTGAGGCACAAGTCAAATCCTTTTCTCTGGAGTTTCAATCAGCGCCATCAGACCTGCAGCAAACACCACCTCTGCTGCTTGCTACAGTTATAAGGAAGCACATCATCTCACAATGGGCAAGTTCTAGTAAAAACCTGAATAAAGGTTTAATTGAATTATTATTTCATGAGTCATTGTTGTTACACCCTACTTGGTTGTACTAATGAAAATGTTAATAAATAATTCTAGGCCATTGCAGCTCTGCTGGTTCCCCATAATGTGTTCACACTTTGTCCCATAAAGAGTTATTAAAAAGTCTTACGTTGACCTTGGTGTAAACCCTGCACAAACCCTGACGTGAATACATGCACATATTTTGACTTGCACTTTCTTGCCTCTGTCCTTTTTCTCTATTCCTTCATTGTTTTCTGGTCCCTGCACTTTTAAACCTCGCTTCCACCACAACTATTACCTCAAGGCTCTCAGTGTTGCACTCAGCCTCATTTGCTTACACTCCATCAAAGACCGTGGTGGTGTTTGTATCGGTTGGATGATAATGACATGTGTGGAGCTGTAACCTCTGACTGTTTCAAAACATGGCAGCCCATGACTCTTTAATGCCACCACACTGTCAGAGACCATAATAACCCTCCTGACAAAGCCCCTACAACAGACGCAAGTACTTTGATTTCTCCTGTAAATATGAGATGGTGATGCACCAGACAAGTGCCGACTCAAATTAGCTTTTAAAGTGCTACGTATAAAAGATGTCGGAGCACAATAGTGCTGCAATGGCTCCCTGGATGAATGCTCCTTCATTTCACTGTGTTCCCTGTCACTGAAGCACAGAAAGTGAACTGGTTATAGCTCACACATGGCTGAGTTGCTTGAATATAATTTTTTGCCACAAGTATAAATGCATTACAGCAAATAATTATCCACAGAAACAGACACCATTTTCTGTGTAGATGATCTTGAATATGTCTGCAGTGTATCTGTAAATCTAATAAGTCAAATGTCCTTAATGTTTTCAATTCCCCAAATATTTAGAAACTGTTGAAACCGCATCAAAAAGAAATGGCTGATTAAACTCAGACCACAATCATTACAGTTTAATGAATGATAGTTTAATCTGAGTCAATACACACACTCGACCAATCATGAGTCGGTCTCAGCTGTCAAGCACGATGTTTAACCCCCATTTTATAGCGTCAAATAAGTCGTTAAAACCAAATTGAGTGGAATAATGAACACTTGGACAGAGATCAGTGAGATAAGATCTACCTAAAATAACATGAACCATCATTGAGTTCTGTCTGTCCCATCCACTAACATAGAGGAGGCTGGATTGATGACCGATAATGCAGCCAGCCACCTGGTTAGGATTGAATAACACTCAATGGTGAATGTCATTTAATATCAGCACACATCTTTAAGTGTATGTAGAGCAGACATGTGTGTATTTTAGTCTTTTCTCACTGACCTGCTTTAGTAATATCATGGCTCAGTCTTTAAAATGTTAAGTGATGTACATTCGTACAGTTCACTGTAGCTCTGATATCACTATCCCCTCCACTGGGTCTCTCTCTCTCTCTCTCTCTCTCT